TGAGCAATGGTGTGAGTGAATGAGTGACTGAGCGTGAGTAAAGGATTGAATGTGTGAGTAAGAGTTTGTGAGAGTGTGAATGTTTGAGTGCATCAGTTTGAGAGTGAAGGAGTGACCGAGTGAGTGAATGTCTCCCTGTCCCCCTGTCCCCCTGTCTCCATGCCCCCATGTCCCCCTGTCCCCATGTCCCCATGTCTTTGTGCCCCCCTGTCCCAACGTCCTCCTGTCCTCATGTCCTCCTGCCCCAATGTCCCCATTTCCCCCTGTCCCCTTGACCCCATGCCCCCCTGTCCCCATGCCCCCCTGTCCCCATGCCCCCCTGTCCCCATGCCCCCCTGTCCCCATGCCCCCCTGTCGCCATTTCCCCCTGTCCGCATGTTCCCCTGTCCCCATGTCCCCGTGCCCCATTGTCCCCATGCCTCCGTCCGCATGTCCCCCTGTCCCAATGTTTTCATGTCCCCATGTCCCTATGCTCCCGTGCCCCCTTGTCCCCGTGCCCCCCTGTCCCCATGTCCCCTAGTCCCCATCCCATGTTCCCCTGTTCCCATGTCCCCATGTTTCCCTGTCCCCTTGTCCCCATGTCCCCCAGTCCCCAAGTCCCCCTGTCCGCATGTCCCCCTATCCGCATGTCCCCCTGTCCTGATGTCTCCACACGTGTGTGCGTGTGTTTGTGTGTGTGTGTGTGTATGTGCACGTGTGTGTGCGTGTGCGTTGTACGTGTGTGTGCGCATGTGTATGCATGTGTGTGCGTTGTACATGTGTGTGTATGCGTGCGTGCGTGCGTGTGTGTGTGTGTATGTGTGTGTGTGTGTGTGTGTGTGTGAGGGTGTGTTTGTGTGTGAGTGTGTGTGTGTGTGTGTGTGTCTTCTCTCATATATCCGCTGCTCCACCCATCCGCCCAACTCTCTCTCCCCCCCTCCAACAGGCTAATCCATATTCTCTCACAGAATCTCCTCACTACGCCTCTGCACTCGCTGCTGCTCTGTGCTCACTACAAGCCGCAACTCCAAGTAAGTTGGTGGGGGGCTGTGAGTTCATGATTTAAGGGAAGTGGGGTTGTGGGGCTGTGAGTTATGATAGGGTATTGGGTCTGTAACGGAAGCTCCTCACTACACCGCTGCCCTCGCGGCTTCGCTGCTTGTTACATCTGGATTACTCTTGATCAAGGTGTAAATGTTGTATATTTCGACTGTCTCCCCTCCCTTTCTCTCATCCGCCCAACTCTCTCCCCCCCTCCCCCACAGGTTACTCCATCACTCGCTCTCTCACCGAAGCTCCTCACTACGCCGCTGCCCTTGCGGCTTCTCTGCTTGTTACATCATTCCTTGTCAAAACTTCAATCGTCTGCCCGGTAGGTAGTAGTAGGTACTCGTTCCCCATTGCCAAGAGCCCTCTGGGGTCCCTGGGGAGCCTGCAGCTGAGAGGCGACAAGACAAGCACAGGGAGGAGCGAGGGGCTGTTGCTGTCGGACCAAGTGTGGTTCACTCACTCTGATCACACCACCATCAACCCTCTGCTCACGTTTGGGTGCGTTGCTTTGCATGGGTGGGTGGGAGAGGAGGGGAAGGGCAGGCAGGGGGGAGGGAAAGGTAGGGAAGGAGGGGGGTGCTGTTGTTGCTGTCGGACCAAGTGTGGTTCACTCACTCGGATCACACCACCGTCAACCCTCTGCTCACCTTCGGGTGTGTTGGGTTGCATGAGTAGAGTGGAGGGGAAGTGGGGAAGCTGGGGGAAGGAAAGTAGGAAGAGGAAAAGGGGGAAGCAAGAAGGGGGAATGGGGGGAAGGGTTAAGGAGGGGGGGGAGTGAGGGATAGTGTGGTTTACTTACTCTGATAACAAACACCACCCGTCACCTTCCTGCTCACGCTGGCACGCTGCTGATTCTCTTCAGAGGTGGGTGGCGAAAAGAGTGATGGCCTGTGTGTGCGAAGGTTCAGACCTAGACCGCGATGAGCCAAAACCACTTTGCGGGCATCCAATTTCCAGGTAGCGAAAAGGGTGGTTACCAGATGGTATTTTCGGTTTGGCCCGTCGTCCCGCCAAAACTAAAAAATGTAACCAGAATCTTATGTTCAAGGTCGGGGGTGGAGAAGAAAAGTAACTGCTTCCGATTGCACAGAACCACACTTCACCACACCACTTGTACCCAGATCCAGAATCGTCCCGCCTTGGAGTTAGACTAGCATGCAAGCACACCAGTTCACTCCTGGATTAGCTCCTCACTCCTCACTGGCTCCACGCCACATCACTCCTTACTGGCTCCACCCCCACTCTCTCCCTCCCATCCTTCTCCCCCCACATGCCTTCATGCTCGTGCTCCCCATCATCACGCCATCCACAGTCCATAATACCGGTCTACAACCATCTTCACCCCTCTGCAGGTGCCTGGCGGATCTGAGGGTGCTGAGGCTTTTGAACAACCCCCTCGAGTTCTTCCCGGAGATTATCCCGTGCCGTCACCTGCGCCTGCTCTCCCTGGCTGACGTGCGCATCGTCAGCAACTAACAGAGGAGGTAGGGGAGGAGGGGTGTGGGCGGTTAGAGAGAAACTTGAGCACTAAGAGCCAGCCCGCACTTGCACCTTGCTCCTCCTCTTCCGCAGCAGCTGGTTCAGATACCGCTGCTCGTGTAAATGCTCGATTTGCTGTGGGGGCGGAGGGGTGTGGGGGTGTGGTGTGCAAGCATGGCTTTGCGTGGCAGGGGCTGGGGCTGGGTGGAGTGGGAACAGCATGGTGTGTCGTGGTCGTGGTGTAGCGTGGCTGGGGCTGGGGCGGGGTGGATTGCAAGCCTGCAGGGGCTGGGTAGTGTGGGAGGGCATGGCATGGCATGGTAGGGTGTGGGGTATGGACATGACATGGCACACACCTGGGTTGACATTAGGGTTGACCGCCACTGCTCCAGCTCCCCCTTACCGCGCTGCTGAGAGCGACAGAGACTTGTCCGCACTGCTACCATGCACCGCCACCTGAGAAAGACAAGCGAGGGTGCGAGGAAAGAGGGCGAGAGGCGAGAGGACAAGCATGGGAAGACAGACGAGGACAAGCTTCTAGAAGGAAACACGAAAAGAAACACTTCCCTAGCTTGAATTGTCAGACGCGATTCATGGAAGCAGCCATGGTGCGTGGCGCATGATGCCTGGTGCACATTTTGAGTGTTTTTTTACACTTCATCTCAATCTGCCCATGATTCTTTGCATCTTCCCCCTTGCACACCATACCCTACACCTCCCTGCCCTGCAGATAGCAACCATTCTGCAGCTCCCCTTGCTCCAGCTGTCTGCAGCAGTGCTAACTCCACCACCAACCGCAGCACCCGCAGTACCAGCGGCGCCAACAGCAACACTTGCGCCAACGGCAACCCCAACATCACCATGAGCGACAACGAAAGGCCTTCTACTGAGTTCCTTACCCCCAGCAGCAACTTCAGAAGGCGTTCTAATGAGTTCCTTACCCCCAGCAGCAACTTCAGAAGGCGTTCTAATGAGTTCCTTACCCCCAGCAGCAACTTCAGAAGGCGTTCTAATGAGTTCCTTACCCCCAGCAGCAACTTCAGAAGGCGTTCTAATGAGTTCCTTACCCCCAGCAGCAACTTCAGAAGGCCTTCTACTGAGTTCTTTACCCCCAGCAGCGTTTCTGCTGGTTCTCCTGTCTCACGTGCTGAGCAGTCAGTGAGGCATGCTGAGCTCCTGGCGCAGCACTCAGGCCCACGGCGCCTCTCATTCAACGAGCAGCCGGAAATGACAGATGTGGAGGAGGGCAGCGAGCAGGATGGGGCCGAAGGGGCAAGGGCAGGGGCAGGGGGGGAGGAAAGGGAAAGGGGAGAAAGACGGGGAGAGGAAGGGGGAGAGGAACAGAAAGAGTATGGCAAAGACGAAGGGGCAGTAGGGGGGGGACAGGGAGGGGGAGGGGGAGGAGGAGGGGGAGAGGAGGTTGGAGGGGAAGGGGGTGGGGGAGTTGCAGGGGGAGTGGGAGGGGGAGAGGGAGATGTTCAATTCGAGCAGAAGGACGATGACCTCAAGGCATTGATTGCCGAGCGAAACCACCTTCGAAAGGTAGGCTCAAGAGGGGGGGAAAGGGTGGCGGGGGGGCCTAGGAATCTATCACTAATCACGCATGTGCATGTTCTTCAACAGCATTGCCAGCACCCACCCAGCACCCAACCCTCTGGGGAACTTGTAAGTCAAAAGCAAGAACTTTATAGTAGTTTCTCAAATCAACGGCCGCTGTAAGTGGTGTGGTGTGTCACGTTGTAAGTGGTTTGGTGTGTCACGCTGTAAGTGGTGTGGTGTGTCACGAGGAAGTTGGGGGGGCAGGGCGTTTCGATGGAAATGGATGCGGCTGAAGGCCCCGCGTAGGACGAGGTGAGCCAAGGGGTTTCAGGGGCGAGGGGGTGGGGGTGGGGGCGGGGGTGGGCGTGAGGAAGGCAGTGAGGTTGGCGGGAGGCGGTGCTGCTGCCGAGAGTGTGAGGCGACGCCCTCTCTCTGTGAGGCTCAGCAGTCTGAGGTTGGCGCCCCAACTAGTGGGAGTGGGAGTGGGGGGGGGGGGGGGGGGGGGGGGGGTAGGGGGAGTGGAGACGGCGGTGGGAGATTGGGGGGTGGGAGAGGGGAGACTGGAGAATGGGGAATGGGGAGAAGGGATGCGGGAGAGGGGGGTTGGGAGAAGGCGGGGTGAACGAGGGGCGTCCTCTCACTGCGCGCCCTGCGCCGTGCCCAGACCCAGCCCGGCCCATTGTCGACGACCCGGCAGGGAGCAGGCGGGAGGTGGGGCTACGGGAGGAGCGGAGGGCAGCGGGATGGGGATTGTAATGACATGGGAGCGGGAGCTGCAAGGGAGGTGGTGAGAGGGGTGCTCAGTGAGGGGGAATAGGATAGGGGGTCGAGCAGCAGGGAGAGGAAGGGGGTTGGCGGGAGAGGGAAAGCTGTACGTGGTGGGTTGGAGAGGGGGATGGGGGAGCCGGGCTGGGTTAAGGTGGTTGGGGAGGGCGATAGGGAAGGAAGGTGGGATGAGGGTTTATGGTTTAGGTGAGCAGGGGAGGGGCATGATGGAGGAGCACCACCACCCACAGGGCGAGGTGAGCCAAGGAATGCCAGGGGCGAGGGGGTGGTGGTGGGCGCGAGGAAGGCAGTGGGGAGGACGTGAGGGATTACAGGGGGAGATGCGAGGCGTGCAACAGCTGTGGACAGGAGCTTGAAAATTGGCCAAAGAACTTCTCCCCCTCCACAACCCCTTCCCCTTCCAGGTGGAGGAGGAGGAGGAGGTGGTGCTGCTGGAGGAGGAGGAGGAGGAGGAGGAGGAGGAGGAGGAGGAGGAGGAGGAGGAGGAGGAGGAGGAGGAGAGAAGGAGGCCGGGAAGTGGGCAGCAGGGGGAAGGAGCAGTAGGGGTACTTCCTTCTTTCCAATCTCCTCCTGACTCCCCTCCCCGCTCTGCAGAATCCGAAGCCGAGGCCGAAGCAGAAACGGCTGCATCAGCTGCAGCAGATACAAGAGCAGGAGCGGTAGCAGCAACGACAACAGAGGAAGGGGAAGAGCGTGGGGGGGGAGGAATAGCAGAAAGGGTGAAGGAGAGGAAGCGGAAGGAGCTGCACCAGCCAGCAAAGGGAGGGAAGAGGAGAGACGGTAGTGGAGGGGCGAGGGGAGGGGAGAACCAGCAGCGTCAGCACGAATCGGCAAAGGGGGGAAGTGCTGGGAGTGTAAAAAGTAGGTTCCCATGGGTAGTTATCAGGGAAGACGAGATATTTTCGGAGATTACCGTACGTCGAAGAAAAGGGAAAAAGGGGTACTCCGGGGGAAATTTCAAGACGCAGGAAGTGGCGGTTACCTGGTCAGCCATCGGCAAGGTTTTGCTGAGCCTAGGGTGGGAGCTAAAAGGATTAAGGCGGTGGAAGCACTAAAGGAATCGGTGAAAAAAATTTTAACGGGGGAGGAGGTTGAGGTGATAAGGGGGAACAGGCCACTAGTTAGGCGTTGGTGGGACAAACTCAGATCCGCAAAGACCTCCTCGACAGACCAAAGGGAGAATTTGGGGGGGTGCCCAGCCCTTTTGCCGAAGGAGCTGCTGGAGCTAACGCGTGCATGGCAGCGCGCTCAAGATAAGGCGGCTGCATTCGCTCGTGAAGCAGCAGCAGCACAGTCCAGGGGTGTGGCAGCATCCGCACCCGCAATAGCACTAGGTTAGCACCAGGTGGGGGGAGGGGGGGTGGGAGGGTGGGTGGGGGGGGGGGTGGGAGGGACGGGGGAGCAGGAGGGGGAGCGGGAGCAGCAGGAGGAGGAGCAGCGGGAGAGGGAGCGGGAGGAGGAGCAGAAGAGGGGGGGGGCGGGAGGGGGCGGGAAGCGGGAGGGGGAGCGGGAGGGGGAGTGGGAAGGGGAAAGAGTCTGCTCGCAGCAGCAGCAGCAGCACCAGCAGCAGACGTAGCAGCAGCAGCACACGTAGCAGCCATAGTAGCAGCAGCAGAAGCAGCCATAGTAGCAGCAGCAACAGCAGCAGCAGCCATAGTAGCAGCAGAAGCAGCAGCAGCCATAGTAGCAGCAGCAGCAGCAGCAGCAGCAGCCATAGTAGCAGCAGCAGCAGCAGCCATAGTAGCAGCAGCAGCAGCAGCCATATAAGCAGCAGCAGCAGCAGCAGCCATATAAGCAGCAGCAGCAGCAGCGCCTGTTCATGGTTGTGTGCGTGTGCACACGTGCGTGCATACGTGCATGGCGGAGTGGCGGGCGCGTGGCGCTGAACACGCTGATCAAGGTGGTGGCGGTGGACACACAGGCCGTGCGTCCAATCCAATTCGTCAAGGCAAGCGCCGCCCCTCCTGCCTGCCCTCCTCCCGCACCACCCCTCCTGACCCCTCCCACGCCACCCCTTAACTTCCCTCACGTATGCAACCCCACCGTCAATTCCTCTTTCGCACTGTGGACTGTCATGGCCTGACACAGGTCACTGACCGCCCTCTCTCCCTTGTCCACACCCTTTTCTACGTCCGCATGTGCGTGGCTGCGCGAGCAGGACTGGGGCATTGCCATGAGGAGGAGGGCGTTGGAGCTGGTGTGCGCTGGTGAACGAGGGCAATTTCAAGGCGCTCACCGCACTCGCGAGCTCTTGGACTACCTGCGTGCTGCTGACTCCCACTTCAAGCCCCACCTCACCTCCAACATCTACGCCCTCGTGCAACGGTGCGCTTTCCCCCACCCCCTCGCCTCTTCTTCTGCTCCCCTCCTCGTCTGCCTTCTTCTCCCCTCCCCCCTGTCGTTCTGTGTGCCACGTGCTGCCCGCCTTCCCCATCCCTTTTTCTGTGCCATGTGCTTCAAGCCCGATCTTACATTCAAAATCTGCGCCTTTGTGCAACAATGCCCCTCCCCCCACCCCCTCCCTCCCTCCCCTCCCCATTCCCGTTCCTCTCTTCCTCCTCCCCCTTCTTCTCCCCTCCCACCTGTCGTTTTGTGTGTCATGTGCTGCCTGCCTTCCCTCATCTTGGATTGTGCTGTCCGCCATGTGTCCTGCCATGCCTTTCCGAGACACCTGAAAGCATCAACCTGTGGTGAATGTGCCCTGCATGCTGTGCATGTGCATGTGTATGTGTGTGTGGGTGCATGGGGATGTGCGTGTGCATGGAGGGGGGGGGTGTGCATGTGCATGGGGGGGGGGGAGGGAGGGGGGGTGTGTGCATGGAAGGTGTGTGTGCACGGCATGGTGTGGTGCATGCAGGTATGCGCCCAGCAAGCTGTATCATGTGGAGATCATGCAGCGAGTCATCACCGAGGTATGCCCCCTCTCCCCTCCCAACCTCCCCTCCCCTCCCCTCGCATCAACCAACCCTTTGTTCTTCACGTGAACCTTCCTTGCATGGTGCACCTTTTGTCTTGTCCTTCCTCGACTGAGAAGCACCGTACTTGTGTCGCGACTCACGCGCCACCGTTCCGGCCTGCTCTTCAGTGACGGATGTGCCTGCATTCATGCCTGTGCCTCCCTCTCTCCCGCTCTGCGTGCCTGTGAGCGCCAGGCGTGGGAGTATGTGACGGATGACGTCATGCATTCCTGGTGGTGGGCATCAGCAACACGCCTGTGGCAGGGGAGTCTAGGCGCGGTGGCGGTGTGGTGTCTGGGCGAGTTCGGGGAGATGCTCGTCAACAACTCCGCCCTGCTGCACCAACACACGCCCCTCCAGGTGCCTCCCTCCCGCCCTGCCTCCCGCTCTCCCTCCCTCCCTCCCTCCGCCCCTCTCCCTCGTCCGCCCTTGCTCTAGTGCACCCATTATCGTCCTCAGACCTTCTTGCGCGGCCACTCTTTCTTGTGAGGCCGCATTCTCAAGTGCCCCCACCATTTGAAGTTCCCCCACGCTATGAGTTTCCAGCTGAAACGCAATGATCCGTCTCTCACCGGAAGCACAACACACATGAACACCATTGACCAACCACTCATGTCCCGTGCACCCCCCTTGAACCAATTTTCCATCCATATGTCCGCCCGTCCGTCCATCCCTCCACCCACCCGCCATATACCACCCCGTGCCTGCCATGCATGCATGCTTCCCTGGGACCAGCCTGTGTGCGTGCATGGTGGGGCGGGGGGCAGGTGAGTGGCGGAGGGCGAGCTGGTACAGATGATACAGGCCACCATTAAGGACACACACGCCACGCCCACCTCAACGCCTACGTCCTCGTCGCTCTCCTCAAACTCTCCTGCCGCTTCCCCTCCTGCTCCCAGTGCGCCCCTCTGCCCTCTAACCCTGCTATCTCTCATGCTCATCTCTCCTCCTTCTAACTCCTTTCCTCGGAGCAATTCTCTCTCGTGTGCCCAGCAATTGTGCCGTTGTCTCCACCACTTATTTCCACCCCAGGGTTCTCTCCCTACGCCTTCCACATCTCCCCCTCCCACCTTCACATCACAGTCGCCCCGTTTCCCCTGGTACTCCCCCTCTGTACCAGTCCACTCCACGTCTCTCCCCTGCGCATTTACCCCCTGTGCCCACTGACAGGCGCATGAAGTGGTTGGAGGAGCAGCAGGGGCACAGCCTGGTGTTGGAGGTGCAGCAGCGCTCAGTGGAGTCAGCGCCGTGCTCGCCCGCCACCACAAGACCAAGTCAGCCCTGCGCCCTGGCCCACCCATATCTTTCACCCCTCCTTGCGCCCCCATCTATCGATTCCCTCCCTTTTCCCACACTCTTCCAAACCCCACCCGCCCACTCCCCCTTCCTCCTGACTCTGCTGCATGTCGCCTTGCCTTGAGTTGTTGCCTGCCTTTCCCCTCATCTGCCTGCACTCGCACCTCCTCGTATTGGTCATACTCTCTCCAGTGCACTTTGGTCGGCTTCATGCTTGTCCTCTATCACCATTGCTTCCTTTGATTCTGCGCACGTGCTTCTTGCCACAGCTCCCGTGTCATACAATCTGATGCGTAATCTAAATTGCCTATCTCACTCAAGTACACATGTGATGCAAGGGAACGCTTGAGCTTCCTTTGAACGTACTGCTGTGCGTCTGTGTGCATGTGTGCCTATGTCTCTGTGCCTGTGCCTGTGCCTGTGCCTGTGCCTGTGCCTGCCTGTGCCCGTGTGTGTGCCTACATGTGTGTGTGGGGGGGGGGAGCAGAAGCCGCTGGTGATGAAGCTGAGGGTGTCATACCGGTACAAGGAGGGCGTCTTAGAGCAGGGCCAGATCAACAACTTCCAGACCAGACCACAGCAGACCACCACACCAGAGATGAAGGAAGGCAGCAGCACTCTGTTACCAGTACTACAAGACGACACCTTTCCACTCACCTAATGCGACCTTCACTAAACTTCTCCATACCGTATTCTCCCGGACAAAACACCCCCCCATGATTGAGCACCCCCGGGTAGCTTGTGCGGGGTGGGTGCTATGGGCGACCTCGTTTCTACTATACCCCCCTTTTTGGCTGATTTTTTATAACACCCCCCTTTTATTACAGATTCTTTATTATATTTGTTAACGAGTAGGTGCAATTATGGGATTTTCTCCCTCGATGAATTCAATTCGAATCTGCCGAGATTCCCCCCCGCCCTCCTTCGATGAATTCAATTCGAATCTGCCGAGATTCCCCCCCGCCCACCATCTCGCTATCGCCACGTGCTGGCGAATCTTGCGTTGCAAGTGGCCAGACAGATGGCACATGGCATTTCCGAGGGGGGGATGACGTTTGCATCGAAACTCACATTCGCGCCTCAACATGTGATGTTAAAACGCCCTTGGAAACACTTAGCTTGTCTAATAAAAAAAACTCTTACAGTAAAATATACCATATATATGCACCCGGGTAATATGTAGCTTTTTCTTATGAGAAGACACCCCCCCTTTTTTTCCTGTATTTTTAGATCTACCCTAGGGTGTTATGTCCGGGAGAATACGGTATTTGGAATCACTCGTTGTGCATCCTGTGATGTGACCTGTTGTTGGGTTCTTGGGTGGGAGGAGCTGCAATCAATCATGTGTAGTGTAGTTTAAGAGGTTTGATTGAGTTTTGCCGCCTGGAACCTGTGGTTGCTGCCGCATGTAGCCTTCTACATACCTCCCCTCACTTCATCCATGCTCTTGCTCTGTTAAAGCATAACCCATACTGTAGTTCCATTCACACTGGTTGTTGCACATGAATGTGGATTGAAGATGTGTGTATCTTGTTTTCTGTTGTAGGCAAGTGGTTCGCCAACCGAACCCTGCAACTTGCGGGATGGTGGGCTTCTTGCGGTATTTTAAAAAGCACTTTGATTGATCGGCCAAAATCTGGTAGCACAACATGCCGTGCACAGATGCATGCATGCACATTGAGCAAGATGAAGAAATGGATGGACCCACTGATATCTGAAGCGAGGGTGGGTGGATGTTCAACTGTGCTGCTTGTGGGCGGATTATAAGGGCTGATGGAAAGAACGTTGCGCCAACACTTTGCATCAGCTTTCGCCTCGCCTACTACCCTGCCCAGCCCAGGAAGGTGGGTGGCGCAAGCACCTGAGGGGGGATTTAACACGCTGAGACAGGAGGTGCGGGGAGGGGAGCGAGGGGAATGTGAGTGCGAGTAGGGAGTGGAACGTGGGGTGTGGAGATGAACAGAGCATTGGTTACAGAGGGGAAGAGCCTGTGAAGCACTTGCTTTTGAGGCGCCCCAAAGCTCACACTTGAGAAAGTTCAAAGGAACATACTGCAGGTGCTGGTTGGTGATTGCATGGAAGAACAGCTTTTAGTGGTGTGCTGCATGCACGTACCTACATATGTAGAAGATCTATGAGGCCTCAAAAGATGTGCACGCACACAATCACGGACGCACACACACCCCCACACACACACGCATGCAAGCACTCACGCACACACCCACTCACACATGCGCACACGCACACAAGCACGCACACACACATGCACGCACACACACATGCACACACGTATGGGTAAGAGAGCTTGGGTGATGGAGGGGAAGTGGTGCAGCAGATTGTGCCATAGTAGCTGCGCTGTGTCGTGTGCTGCTGCGCCTGTCACTCATGGGTCCATCTGGGAGCAGGGAAGGAGGAGGAAGGCACAGAGAGATGAAATGTGAATCGGATGGGCTCTGGGTGACCTGATGCGAGGAGGGACGATGTGGTTTTCACATCGAGGGTGATTTGAGTAGCGCCTAAAACCCCCTATGAGGTCTTGAAAACAGTAGCAATGCTCCTCCTCACACGCGCACAGTCCCATGAGCAACGCGTCGATTGAGGCGTGTGGAAACAAGAATGGGCATTCCGCCATGCGCCCACAATCAAGGAAGGCATCAGGAATGGGAGGGAGAGATGGGTGAAAGAGGGACAGGGTCAGGCCAGGAAGGTCATGGATTTTGTTCCAGACACACACGATGACTCGCCGCTCCCCCTCACTCACCCAACCAGTCGCTACCCCTCCACCACCCAGCCACAGCCAGCAGAGCAGCAAGGGACAACAACACGTAGCTGGAGCGATCCACCACCCACTTGCAGCAGCTACTCACTCACCCACTCCTCTCGGTCGCCCGCTCATCCTCCTTCACTCACTCACCCACCCACTCCCCTATCCCCACTCCCCCCCTCACTCACCCCCCCCTCGCCCTCCTTCATCCCTAGACCTAAGACCTGTACGTAAGCCTTACTCCCCTGCACCCACCCACGGCCAGCAGAGCAGCACGGAGCAGAGTCGGTGCGGAGCGGAAGTGGCATGCATTGGCGCGCATGAGGTGGCTGTGGTTGCCGCACTGGGCGGAGGGTGGAGGCGGTGTGGGATCGGGGAGTGAAGACACAGTGCAAGTGGCAAGTGCGGAAAGTGTGGAATGGTACATGTGGCTTACGGTACCATGAGCTGCACGCGCTGCCAGCAACCAGCTGCTGCTCAGCCGACGCCTGTGGGTGGGTGGGACCGACCAAGCATAGGGAGGGAGAAGAGGGAAACTGGGAATGTTCAGGCGTGCAGTTTTGGAAGGTCCTAAGGTAAGCGAGGCGGTTCTCAAGCATTGAAACGAGGCACGTGGAGCAAGGAGAGGGAGGTGGAGGGCAGTGGGTTGGGGGCGAGGCGTGTGGGTTGGCATGCTTTAAGGAACCAGAAGTGGAGCGATTGGATGGCCTGGCAGGCAGTTGGAGAGCAGAGCCGCACATATGACCACGCCGCGGCCGGTGAAGCCCTCACACCACCGCACTCACCTCCTGCACCGCCTTGCACCCCGCCGCTATGCAGCACACCCCCCAAGTCCGTGATGCTGCGACAGTTGCCCAGCCCCAACACCTGCCCACCTGCACACCATGCCACCATGCCACACGCCATGCCACCCTGCACACGCCCGCATGTGTTGCGCAAAGCCATATGAGAGGGGCGGGCGGAGGAGTGGTGAGAGGAGCTCCAGGCATGCACGCACTGCTGCAATGGAGGAGGGGAGGCGCGGGAAGAGCAGGCGCGGGAAAGGAGAGGCGCGGGAAAGGAGAGGCGCGGGAAAGGAGTGGTGAGAGGAGGCTCTAGGCGCGTACCTAGAGTTGGTGGCAGCAGGCGATGGCATGAGGAGATGGCACGAGGCGCTGGCACGAGGCGATGGGCATGAGAGCCATAACCGCCCGTCAGTCCTCGACGCGCGCTAATCACGCCACGCGCCTGCGTATCGCGCGCGTGTGCAAGCTCTTCGGCGGGCAGAAGGGCGCAAAATCGCCCGCTTTCGCGGCGATCGCGCGACCCACGGTTCCGCCGCTGAGATCAATCGCAGCCGCGACGCGACGCTCTCGTTTTTTCTTCCAAAAATTCCCTGACGCCCGACCCGTTCTCCCCGCCATTGCCCACACACCGCAAATCCCGCTGATTCGCTGCCCTTTTTCTGGTGTTTTCTCGGTTATCCCCGCATGCCGCCGCGCCGCGCCTAGATTTACGCCGACCAGTCACGGCTGCCGCCTGGTCCTAGGCCCCCTAGCAGAGGCCGCCTATCAGCACCTGCCGACCGCGCAAGTCACGTATTCCCCATGCCCATGTCCTTAGCACGGCGACGCGCCGCGGGTATTGGCCTACTTCCAGAATCGATGAAAAGTTGCAAGTGACTGTGCTACCAGAAAGGTACATATACGCTTGCTGCAACTGCGGACCTGATCCAACCGAACCACACCGAAATGACGAGGGGCGAAAATACGTCGTGTCCATCGATAGGGAACATTCGTATATCACTCATGGTGACAAGAAATCAAATCAGTGTTTTAAACGAGATTCTCTTTGGAGCTTCAAATATCAACTCACTATTCGCTCACCCTCTCGCCATCGTAAACTTTGGTAACCAGAGTGGTTGATATACTGACGACCACATAACGCGGCCGATCAGCACATGTGTTACGGGTGCAATGAATCGAAGTAGCGAGAATTGCACTAAGGTGTCAAACGAGTACAAAGATGTGAGCGAAGGCATGAGCGAACATTTATATGCGAAGCATGCAAACGGTAACGCGGTGCGTGCGAGCTAGCTAGTGCTATGCTGGCAACGAGGCTCGGGCTAGTCCCGAAGCGTAGGCCGACACGGCCGGGCCAGCAGTGCGAGGTTTGGTGAAACAGTGCGCGCGAAGTCGGCGAAGTTCCGTTAGCAGTAACGGGCGAACAACGGCTGTTGCTGTACGCGATGTAGTCGGGCTTCGTAAGGAATGCCGAGAAAATTCCTTACACTACCCCCCCCCCTCAAGAAGCCCCCTCCGCTACGCGAGTGCGTGTATGTCGCGGAATCCCCGGCTCCTCAGGTACACTTGCAGGGCAGG